AACCACACATTCAAATGCCAAATAATTCCTTTATTACTAAGTCAGCACGCTGATGACATTCCAAAAGCAGAAAGGCCAAAAATAGACGTGATGACAGAAACTTACAGCAAGGCCTTCGTGAGGGAACTAGTGTGCATGCTACATTACTGCCAGATCAGAATAAAAGAAAGTCGAGTGAAGCCAGAAAAGCACTCCATCTCATCTTCCACTAATATTTCTCCTTTACATGACACGTAGGAGACTGTCAGGAAACTTTCTCTGTTAGATAGGACTGTAAAAAATGCTGTTAGTTCATACCCCAGTTTCCTAACACACAAAGAATTCAAATAAAGATCAAATAAAGGTCTGATCAAATAAAGAATCAAATACGAGATCTCAAATTTTAAAAGTTTTACTTGCAAGCAAGGAGTGCAGAACAATGGTTACATTCATAACTGCACTGAGGAACTCCTCAGTGTTCAAAGCTTAAATAGTTTTTTTTCTACATACACGTCAATGGTCAGCACCTTAACCCTTTACAGCCATGTGGTGTTCACACGCAACTTCTGAGCACTAATTGGCAAAGGCTGCTTCAAACAAAGATTCTCCACCAATAGAAAACATGTACATGTACTGAGCTATTCTGCTCAGTAACTCAGGTTAGATCAAAGAAATACACTTTGGATTATTTTCCTTTTTGATGTTGTTTTCCTCATTATTTGGGCAGAGAAACTGGTTCAGGCTGGTTCTGTGACCTGTCTCTATCTCCAAGCGTAACAGTCAGTGCCATCCGTACCATACACCATCCTGTTATGTAAACCATCAGCATGCACACCTTTCTTCAGCACAGCATTGAAAAACAAACAGTATAAATTGATATGGAAATTTAATATAATGAATATATCGTTAAGATTTGAATAAATGTATTTACAATATCTTAACAGAGACCAACAGAAACGAAAAGTGAAATGAAATGCTCTACATCTGTGTGATGTCAGACCTGAAGAAGAAATATATTTATTACCCACTTTAATGTATATGTATTGTG